ATCTTCTAGCCATTTAAAAAAACTAAAAAAAACACTTCTGACTCTGATAACATCATTTACAGTCCACTCAACTTTGCATGTGGCCAGCCGGTAATATGAGGAATCTACTTTGCCACAGTATCATCACAAGAGAGATGAAAAAGTATACAAAAAATTAGAACATTTAGTTGTTATGGTAATATGGAGCATGCTCAAAGTCAATGGAGACAATAAAAGAAAAGAAAATGAAACTTAGGGCCTACATTTTTTGCATCACGAGCATCATTTTCCTCCTCTTCGTCCCGTTTATCGTAATCACTGTCTGAACTATGATGATCATCACGCTTGTTATCCTTTTCATTATTGTCAGCTTCATCTTCATCATCATCATCCTGAGAAGGAGCCTGCTGTCCTGCCATCCGCAACATCATCGCCTGCAACGGTGTCACAACCTTTTTCTGCTTCCTGGGAAACTGGAATCGATTATCTTTTTCTGGTTCATCTGAAGAGCGTTTCTTTTTGTCGTCAGCAAAACGGATCTTTCTTACTTTGGCTGCAAAATAAGCAGAAAAACATTTTTTTAATAAGTCCAATCCTTAAAACAAGCATTGCAATGGCTGTTGTAAAGAACTGCACACCTAAAACACCTGTGGCATTTTCTTTTTTGTTAAAAAGTTCTTTTGCTTCATTATATTTACTACATTAGGTGTGTGGCTAAGTGGTTACATTGTTAACATTCTGACTATGTGACCCAGGTTTGAACTTCACTATGGTTGATTTGTCAGACAGGCGAGTTCTTTATATTTTCTTTGCCAATGTGTAATGCACAATGAAATTGGGCAGTAGTCTTTAAGGGCACAAAGACACACACACAAATAAAAAAACTTACAGCATCAAATGAAAAGTATTAACATTTAAAATATGCAGAAAAGCAGTGTTCATTTTATTCAGGGCCCAAGAATAAAAGCTGTTCCTCAAGCACATTTTGCTAAAACTAATAGAACTAAAATGTTGCCCTAAAGGTAACTGTTCAAATAAGTAGCACCTGGTGCACGTGCTATCTTTCATTGTTTGCAGCATTCTACAGCAGCAACAAAAATTAAAAATGTCCTTCAAGGAGAGCAGCAAGCAGCCCTTTATTTTCTGAGCAATATCCTTATAATCATTTGGAGGGCTCTCCTGTCAGCAGCCAATCAGCTGGCACACCAAACAGTGATGCAGTATGACAGCACACTCTAAATAGAACAAGGCTCTATATAATATAACAGTATCGAACCAGGGAGACAATCTCAAAATGCAGCACCACTCGGAAGTTCCTCAAAACCATACCACAGGTTGACCCAACCCTTTTGAGTAGAATTGGTAGTTGAAACTGTTTGGAAGCCATTGATGGTTGGGTTAGCATAGAGCTGAAAATCATCATGACCGAGGGTTTGAGATACTGGTCTTGTTCAAAGTGCTGATTACGCCAGATTATGAGCTTTCCACCAGAAACCGTAACTAAGGTCAGCTCAGTATAGATGTAGTATAAACCACAGGTTTGCTCTGTGGATGTCAAACACAAATACACCTGTAACAAAGAATTATCTAGCCACCCTAGCAGACAGGCATACTCAGATATGGACAGCCAGCCACACACATTTATTGCAGAACAATTTTTTTTTGTTGTCACATGTGTATTATTTTTTCTTTTACATTAATGTTTACCCTGTACAAAGCCCAAGATCCACTTGAGGTAGAGGGTTACAGAATAAGAGGTCAATTTATGGACATATGTGGGGAAGATAAATAACAGGTAACCCTAGACTTGAAGAGGTTGAGATTGTAGTGATTGGGGAAGCACCCTCTTGGGAGTTGGTTCAGTGAATAAAACAACATTTGGGAAACATGCTTATCCTTTCATTTTCTATATTTATAATCAGATTAGTTGATAAACTAACTTACCATATATAACTGAGTATAGTAAAAGTTTCTGTGATCAGTTTTTTATACAAAAAAATAAGGGGGTCGCACGAGACAGGTCATTTTTTTTTTGAAGAAGTAAAAACTCCTGCATAAAGCAAAAACAACATATGTATAAAGTAATTTTTAGTTAGAATGACTTGAATTCTCATCACCTGAAGTATGTATCTCAACTTGTGGGACACCCTACATTATGTAGGAGGGTAATCCTGACAAATAGATTGTCATTGGAGAAGATAATACCTCAGTGATGTAAACACTTGCAAAACAAACATGTATGCAACTTTGAGATAGGAAAAAATTCTGTTAATTCTTCATTTATAGAAGATATGTGTTGATTTTAAGTGGTATAACATAGTGGATGAGGTTTTTGCTCTTCATGTAGTGACAAAAACGAAAAAAATTGGACTACGTAATCCAAGGTAAAGGAGCTACTGCAGTCAGGCATGAACAAAAACAAAACTATGATATCTAAATCTTTGTATCAGATATTTTTCTCATCATTTTGCAGTAGCTTTGTTCAAAAAAGAAAAAAAACAGTTATTTGCTATAAAATATGTTCAGGATGATGCCCAGTACTGCAATATTGGACTACAGTAGGCCTACTAGCATTAGTCAGAAGCTGGGTTCATATTATACACAAGCTATATGAAGTATATTCAGTAAGCTATATGAGTATATGTAGCATGTACTTTTGGATCTTTTTTTAAGCAACTACTGGAATTTTTTAATCTAACAAGCTAATGGAAGCAGTTACAGGTTCTACTGATGATAAACATTATATTTAGTGTGTAAACGTGCGTGCTTTAAGGTCTCTGGTGGTGGAGCAATTAAGCATGATTGACTTGATTTCCCAGGATAGAGGCAATGCAGCTTTGATTCCTGGTGAGTGACATATTTTCTTTAATACAACTTTCAATTACTCAGGCCAGTAGATATCAATTTGATATGGGTATCTATTCAAATATGCATAAGCACTAAATATAATGTTTATAATTATAAAAAATAATGTCAGGCTAAAAACCATCCATTAACTGCTTAAAAATTACTTTATGTTTCCAGTACGAAAAAAAAAACCCCAAAAAAAACAGATAGGTGTTGAAAGGAACCACCAACAAGAGATGCATATTTCTTAAAAAGAGCAACTGAGCCTTGCTTTGCTGTAAGGTCTCTCATGGCTGAGCTGTTAAGTATGCCTAGTTTAAAGGTAGTTTCCAAGGATAAAGGGAATACAGGTTCAATTCCTGTCAAGGGGCTTATGGGGCAATATTTTCTTTAATAGAGGCCATTTTAACTTCTGCCTATATTTCTGAAATGAGGTATAAAATGTCCCCGATTCAAAATCTTACAATACCAAAGAGCTATGATACAGATATGAATAAAACAAACAAGCACAGAGACACACAGACTCTCTTTAAGTCTAAAGCCAGGAAGTGATAAGCTAGAGTAATTAATGAAATTTACTACAACTAACTTATCCTCAGAGATCTGAAGACACTCTTCTAACACATAGTTTTGTCTTTCTTTTATTCAAACCGAAGAAAGTCAGAGCATACAACAGCTGAAACATTGTGAATGTGACATTAACACTCCGAACAGTGTAAATAGACAAATTCACTGTTTAAATAAAATTAATGATTGATTTGTTTTTTTTTACAACTTATCAACTTTTTGCAGGTTATTCAAAGCCAGAAAATATTTTTACATTGCAAGAATTTTTTTGAAGATAATGATTTACTGATACAAGTGTTACTAATTAACCCATAGCTGGAATGGGGGAAAAGTGGTGGACTCATAACATTCTCAAGGGTATCTGCACGTAAGTGAATATATCAAACCTGACTGAAATTGGAACTCGGCTCTCTGATTTCCAATTCTGGGTCATTATTGATCACACCACCTGCACATTCAAACTTACAGCACCTGGAATTCCCAAGTGGTTACCTATTTAAATACTGACCAGGCTCAACATTGCTTAACTTTGGTGATCGTATGAGAATTGATTTTTAAATGTGATATGGACATAATGAAAAAAGGCAGGGATCATGCATACCTACTAAATAACATGTTTATATTAGGTTGTCACACATGAAATGACGCACCATGTTGATGAATTACTATTCTCCAATATACCTTTAAATTCTTAATCCCATCTTTAAAGAAATTTCTCATCATTTGTGTGAGAAACAGTTCAAATGCTTCAATTACCTCTTCCTTATTGGAGAATGTTTCTTTGCATATCAAAATGCTCAAATAAGTGATAATCTGTAGGAGAGATATCAGGTGAATATGGAGGATAAGGCAAAATTTCATAATTCAGGCTATGCAGCTTTTGTTTTAGACAGTTGATTGAGAAGTGTACAGCCATGCATTGTTGTGCAGCAAAATTGGACCATCTAAGCCTGGGATGTTTCTTTTTCAATTTTTCATGCATACACTCAATATGAATTTGATTGACTACCCTTGAGGCAAGAATGAATAATGAATAACCAGTTTATTAACTTTTTAGGGTGCAATGGAGGTTTGGGGTATTGTTTTGGTGATTCACTTGCATCTAACCACTGGCCTACTCTCTTACTTTTCTCAAAGAGTGTTGTGTCGGAAACCTACCACCCCTCTTGAAGATGAACTTGGCTTCGTCTGTGAACAAAGACTTTAAATAATGGGAGATAGATAGAGAAGTTCTTAGCTGAGCTAGTTATTGACTACTCAGGTGATTTCTGTACCTTTTTACCAACCTATTAAAACCCTTTTTATTGTTACGTGTAATTTGGCATTTGTCTCTACTAACCCCAAATCAACATCATAACAAAGAGTATCCATTTCTCATCGCATGTAATAATTCGATGCAAAAATGGTTATTTTTCCCCAGTCTGTACTCATACGGTAAGATTACTTGACATTGTTTCATTGTAATCATTGTCATTGGGTTTATGAGTAAGAATATCTGGAAAGAAAAAGAGTTAGGAATAAGTCAAGAGTTTTTTCATATACTAAGGTTACTTCATTAGATGACTGGATCAACAACCAACCAAAAATTGTGTCAATTCATGTGTGAAAATTTTAGATATTAAGCAAAAATTATACACATATCTGTAAAGACCTGTATTTGTGATTATACAGTTTTAACATGCTTTACAGAAGTAAGTCTTGTCAATAATAGTATGTAAAAGGTATATTAAATGTTATGAAATAAAAGAAACTCACTAGCAGGAGGTTCACCTTCTGGTTCTGGGACAGGTTCTGGTATCTCGACTGGATGCTCATCAACATCAACCGTGCCAATAATTTCATGGATGTCTACAAGAAGAAAAACAACAAAAAGTCTTCAACATAGAAACAGTCATTGTGGGTTTTTTTTTTATCAGTTCACCTTATACAATGCAGTAGAGCCACTAATACACAAGGGTTTACTGAATGTTAAAAAAAATAAGAAAAAAAAAGAAACCTTATTAAGGAGTGAGAACAATAAAAGAAGAGTAATCAAGAAGACAATTTTTCAGGCTGTTGCTTTGGACATCTCAAAAGTGTTTGACAGGGTTTGGCATATTAGTCTTCTTCACAAGTTGAATGGTATTCCTGGACAAATTTTTCAACCGATTCAGTCTTATCAAATTTTGAAATGAAAGTGATCTTGAATGGTCACTCTTCTAGATCTTTTTGTATTAATGCAGGTGTCCCCCAGGGCCCTATCCTTGTACCTACTTTCATTCTGATTTTCATCAGTGACCTTCCTGATAGTATCAGTTCTTAACTTGGTATCTATGCTGATGACACAACTCTCTACTTCTGTCACAATAGTAAGTCTGAGGAGTTCAATAAGGTCAAATTGGCAGATGATCTCAAAAATGTTAACCGGAGCAAAGAATGGCTTGTTAATTTTAATGTCTCCAAAACGAAATGTCTCTCTGTTAATTATCTGAGAGACCACTTTCTGCTGATGCTAACCTCCAGGAAAGTGACTTATTGTGCCTTCCCAGGCTAACATTCCCTGCTGATAAAATGGAAAGATTATATTAAATCAATTGCTAGGTCTGCTACTAAGAAAATTGGTCCACTGTGTTGTGCTAAATAATTTTCTCTCCAGATTTTATCTTACATATTTATAAGTCTACCATTTATCCATTCATTGAATCTGTGTTGTCCATTGTCCCAAGCACTTTTGGCCACTACTACAGCAAATTTCAAGAGGATTTATTTTTCATGTTTGATTGATATGTATTTTTCTTGTTGTTTTGAATAATAGTAGGATCATTTATTCCAAGCTTTGTGTGTTGAGCACAGCTGGAATTTAAGTGAGAGTCTTTCCAAAAACTTACCACTGCTGAATAAGGTGAATTTGATAGTAGGAGCAAGATGTTTTAAAAAGACAAATTAAATTTTTCTTGTCTGTCATATTCAACTCTCTCTCTTTCTCAATATACACACACACACACACATATATATATATATATATATATATATATATATATATATATATATATATATATATATATATATATATATATATATCATGCACCAATAGCCTGGGATAAGTATCTCTGACTGATATCAAAACAGTTGAGTTTCAATCCTGACTTGAAGCAATCATGTCTCGACACACTGATGAGCTGTTTGTGGATGACTATATATATATATATATATACACACACACACACATATATATATATATATATATATATATATATAGAGAGAGAGAGAGAGAGAGAGAGAGACAGGAGCAGGATAGATTCTTCATTTCAAATTTTCCTTAATTCCATTTTTTTCTGCTTTCAGTATAGAATTCCGTTTTTTCCCCCCATTTTCAGTATAGAATTCTGTTTTTGCTTCCTTATAATATTTAGTAAGAAAGTCTAACAATATATAAATGTTATTAAAACAAGAAAATAAAAGGAAAATGAAAGATTTTACTAGCTGGAATAGTCACCCATTGGATAAGTTCCTCCAGCTTTGATAGGCTTTCATACCTCATATTTCAGCCCTAAATCCAAATTTGTGAGTTTCCAGGACAACCCTTACAAAGAATGCTACAATCCTAAATAAGAATTAAGTGAAAGTGGCAAAATAACGTACAGGAAAGTAACACCACAGATGACTAAAAGAATCAAAAAGGTGGTGATCATAAATAAAATCCAAGATTCAAACAACATTCATTTTATGTTGCTTTCCATATTAGAAAATGTAAACATTTTAGTCAAATAAAATTGTAAGCACAATGGAAAAGTTTCTATACTGGAAGGTAAGGCCAATAATGACAATATTGTCCCTTTTGGATTCAAATTACCTCAAATAACCTCAGTGTGGATGCAACCTGTTTAATCTATTTTATGGTCTCAAGTGTCATTCATATACATATAATTTCAGTTTTCAGAGTAAAATTAAATATTGTAAACTGTAAGGAGACAGTAGGTAAGGGGGGGGATATATTAAAATATTACTGACTTTATCTTTTGATGTCTGACAGGGACAAGTTATGAAAGACAAACATAGTAATAAATAAAAATGGTAGATGGCAGATTTGAGTGTTAGAAAAAAGAATTTCCAACTCAAAATCACAATTTCTGTTCTGAGTCTTCCATTTTTCTGTTTTCATGGAAAATAATCCTCTCTCTCTCTCTCTATATATATATATATATATATATATATATATATATACTAGCAGTAGAGCCTGGCGTTGCCCGGAGATGTAACAGTAAGAGATAGATCAAGTTTCGACCATCATAAAGACTGAAAAATAAAATTGACAAAGATTATTGTTTAAGGTTGACGGACATGCATGTCTTAATTAGTTCTTTTTTTACGAATTGGTCAAACCCAAACAAAAACATTGTTTTCAATCGTTATGAGTCTATCGATTGAATAGAATTTTATTATAAACAATTGTCTTGTAAATGGAATTTTAAAGCATTCTGAATGTAAAAATAAAGAAAAAAGTGTGCAAGACAATAAGAAACACTACTTGCCAAAAAAAAATGAAGTTTTGTTGAAATCGGTTGAAAAATGTAGAAATCCAATCCCATATATAAAGGAACACACACACACACACAAACAACCTGGGTTTTTATAATAAGTATAACTTCGATATGATTGCCCCCCCTTTCATTATCGTGATGCCTCTTAATCATGTTTTCAAATTGATTTTGTGCAAAAACAATTGTGTTTTTCCATTTTTGGCACTGTCAGAACCACCACAAGGTAATTTTCGTAGTCCTGTGAAGTTTTGTTGAAATCAAGGAAAAAACGTAGGAAATCGATCCAATATATAAACATACAGACACACACACACACACACACACAATCTGCGTTTTATAATAAGTAAGATATACATGAAATAAAGAGAAATGTCAACATTAGAGGAATAAGTGTCTTATTTCCCAAGATCAGTCATTTATGTGCCATGCATGATACACATTTAAGCGATGATATATCTTTCGATACATGACTGATGAGGCAGATTTTTTCCCACAGCAAGTTGCCATTTCTTTCTGTGGGAGACCAGTTTCCATCCAAAGCTATAGAATCTGTCCTGCTATTTACCCATAGCTAGTGGGAGAAGAGGATTCATACCTTTGCTAAGGGTATTAGCACGTAAGTGAATGTAATGGATTTGACTGGAATTTGGACTCAGCTCTCTGATTACTCAATCTGAGATGCTATCCATTACTACACTGTGCCTTCCAAGATCATACAATACCTTTAAAAAAAAGAGAAGAAGAAGAAGAAGAAACCTAATAACTGCTTTGTTAAAAGCACTGACTTACCTTTTTCTGGATCGTATTCTTCATCTTCACTGTCGCTGAGAGCAGGTGGAAGCCCTGGTGGGGGGCCTGGTGGTGTTCTTTTTAAATAAATTTTCATATCTGCCATTTTCATATCTCCTACTTTAGGCCTGAAATATTTAAACACATAAGGAGAAATATTAACAGAGTTAATTATGGAAAAAAAAAATTAACAATCCTTTTAGTCTGTAGACATAAGGCAGCGGTTCCCAAACTTTTTTTCTGTAGACTGTATTTTCAGAATGAAAATTTACTTGTGTTGCACCAAATTTTATTTGATTAAAAATACATTTAAAAATAAAAAAAAGCCAGAGAGAGCGATAAAAGGAAATAACCACGGATTCAAAGTCAGAACATTATCATTGATAACTCTCTTCTCCAATTTGCAGAGCCTAGTTACTATATTCTTAATATTTAATGTAAAATATCACAATGATAAAATTGGTCAATAATTATTTGTAACTATTTATAGTGGGACTCATGCATGCAATTACAATTAATCTATAATAATATTTTAAATTTTGAAATCATATTTATTTTTGGTATATGTCCTCCTCTGCTGCAATTATGAGGCATGCTGCACCATTTGGGAACCAATGACATAATGGTTTCTTTTCAAATACACCTTTGGACTAAAGTAACATTTTTCAGTAGTATTATAAGTAGATAATATTCAACCATTAGAACAGCCAACATAAAATCAAAAATAAAGAAGCAGTTTAAAAAAAATCCTAAAAAAACTCTTCCATTTATGATTATTTTGTTTAATTTTCTTTCTTTTTAATATTGGTTCAGTGATCTGAAGAGCAAAGATGTCTGGAATTCCAATTCCTGTAGGGTCAGCCATGGCAGTAAGGTCGAGAAGGAGGGACCAGATTGAATGCAACAAACCTCTGAAGACCCCAAGAGCAGAATAGGCAAAGATCTACACAATCTCAATGACCAAACCAGCAGAAGAGGACAGTGCTAGTCAGGTTGGTGTAACCAAGGTGGTCCTTGACAGACCAAGCATCCGACAGTCTGATGCAACCAGGTTTGCCAGATCTCACCTATTTCAATCCCCTTTGAGCCGCAAGGGAAGCACTTCTGGCCAAGTTTGTGAGCTTCTCTGTCATGGAGAGTTGTCAAATTCACATGAATGGCTTTGTCAAACTCTCTCTGATTCCCAGCTGTCACTGTCACCAGTGGGGAGAAAGGGAACTGAGAAAGAGGATGTTCCCGATGCTCAGATGTGAGTGTGTGCCGACAACGATTTCACCTAAAGAACTCTCAATGAAATCTGTACTCATTTTGTCACACCATCATCTCCAGTCCTCAAACACTATAGAAACAAAAGACAAAAAATGTGCTGGACTCCTCCAGTCATATCTATCATCTTTTATGACATTGAATGTTGGACAATTTCGTCACAGATGAAGAAGAGACTTCTCAAGCAACAGAGATGTGGTTCTACAAATGGATGCCGAGAATACCATGGACAGAACAAATGAGCAACATGGGAGCTAGAATTATACTTAAAATCAGAAACAGACAGTTGAATTTTATGGAAAAGCAGGCTTGGAAAAATTAACACTCATAAGACATCTTAAAGGAAATCAGGTAGAAAGAGGGTGCAACCAAACTAATAAGCTTGGATGAATGGATAGTCAAGCAGGAACAAAGAGGGATGGTAAAGAGACAAACATTACTTATAACAACAAGAGACAGGAAGTTGTGGGGTGCCATGATCAACCATGTCATGACATGGCACATAAAAAACATTAGTGGAATTATTAAGTTATTACATTATGTGCTAAAAAGCACCATAAAGATAGAGTAAAACTAGTAATAAGATAATTGTAATAATGAAGATTGTATAGCGCCAGGTGTTGTGATGATAGAGAGTAATAGAAATAATACAGTTTATTGACTCATAGTGTTGTATAAAAAAGCAACAATAAGAAGATGGAATTAAACTAGTAATTACAGAACAGTAAAAAATTGCTTTGATACATTTTGTAACAAATACACAATAAGTAAAACAGCAGGAAGATAATCTATTTGCTTATAAATCTGTGAAAGGTCCCTCTTCTTCTGTGCTTCATATCCCTTAAGGATGTTGGCTATCATGGCCCTCCACAATTTTGTGTCCTTTGTAGCTCTTAATAAATTTTGTCTTTTTGTTATCTCTTCTAAACCTTGCTCCACCCTTCCTTTGCTTAAGCTTGCTAGGTAAGGTTATGCATTGTTTTTCTCTGTTCCTCTTGCCTTCAATCTGTCTTGTGAGTATCTGATTTTCCAAGCCTCCTTGCCTCATTATGTGGCCTAGAAATTTCAACTGTCGTTTCCTGATATTAAGTATCTTTTTTGTTTCCATTTTCTCTAAAACTTTCTCACTGCTCATGTTCAGTCTGTGGTATTCTCAGCATCCTTCTGTAGAAGAGATTGTCCAGTATTCACTGCCATATAGGAGGACTGATATTACGTAACACTTCAGTACTCCTTTCTTTGTTTCTAACAAAATGTTTCTGTTTCTTAATACTTTGATTAACTTTTGGAAGACATCTTTTGCTATCCCAATGTGCCTCTGGATTTCAGTGTCACACTTTATTCCAAATTGAAAACGAGTGAACTTTTTTTTGCCAAGATTACAGAACTTCATGGTTTTGCTTTGCTTGGCAAAAGAGCTGTTGTGAAATATCCATGTGTCTAGATTGGAATTCCCCAGGTAAACTGGTGACAACAATGGTTTTCTCCCTGTATCTAGCATTACTGAAATGAACTCATCCAGTGGTCGGTATATTTGTTGCCATTTTCTTAAGAAATAAGGAATTTTTCCTTCCTTTCTGATGATTTATAAAACTAGTATAGTATATAAAAAATGAACAGCACTAGGCACTCGACAGATGGTGGAAATAGCCGAGAAGTATTTGGTGGTGTCCAACAGCCACCCAAGATGAAATGAGAGTTTGTTTTGATTGGACATATGATAACTAAAAGGATAGTTGCCAAGTCGACTTGTGGGTCCCCGGTGTAGAAAAACAGAAGACAGTACGATTTAAGTTTGTTAGAGGATTATGTTTGGCAGTTTTTTCATTCCTGCCTTAGATGTCAGATAACAGTTATTTGCATTAAAAAACAACAGAAAATACTTGTGGCTGTAGCCAAGATGGCAAGACAATAAAAACAAGATAACTTCTGACTGAGTTATTAATGTATTCAAGCAAGGCTGATAATGTATGGAGGAAAAGGAGTAGCCTTTAGCCCCTGTGGAATGAAGTGAAAATATTGGACAAAGAAGAACATTGGAGAGTCTGAAGGAATCAACACATATGTTAGTCTATAAGAACCTCATAGAAATAAATACAATATGGGAGCCTCTAATAAAGAAAGACAAATATCTTTAATTGCAGTAGCTATCAAAACATGGACAGCAGCAGCAGTTGTAACTCTAATCAGCAGGCAGGTTAGGCTTAAGGCTCCAAGTTCACTTCAGAAAAATTGTCCTACTGGCCTAGTGGATTAAAACATTGGTTAGTGAATTTGGTGATATAGTGATTGAGTTCAAACCCTGGGTAGGGAAGTGTGTACTTGCAGGCAAGCAGTACTATATAAAAATAAGAACTAGATGATATCCCTAGACATGAGTTAAATAAAGATTGATATATACCTGAGGAAGGCCGGAGGGTACAACAGCCAAAATGTTGTGATAACAAGAACAACAAAAATGAGGACAATAGTCTGAATATAAATAGTATAAATAAGATAACTTGTGGTCGGTGTCATAATAAAAACTACCAACCTCAATTTTTTTTTCTTTCTTTTTTACAGTAAGGTTCACCCTGTACAAGACCCTGAGGCCAATCAAGGAAGAGGGTTACATTAAGAGGCAGTTTATATGGATAGGAGAGGAAGATATTGGTTAACTCTAGATTTGGACAGGTTAAGATTGTAACGATCAGGGAAACAACCTCTTGGGAGTCTGCTCCACAGAGCAGTGGATTGATGATTGAATTGTTGATTTATTTTACCAGCATATCAACCTCTGTGAGTTATTTAATGCTGACACTGGATTTTTATTCAGGAATATTCCAGAACATTTCAAGTGATTGTGAGGTTTTAAAATTGTTTTCAAAATATCACAAGTTATATAGTTCAAGAGTACTTTAAAACATAAGTTGTATGGTTCAACATGCTTGCTCTATTTTCTATAGAAATTGGAAGTATTTTCTTTTCTTCAGATAATCTATTATTTGGGCAATAGGTACATTTTTGAAGAGCATGTTAAGATTTTGAGTTTGGTAATAGTTGCTACATATTTTTTGTACTTCTTACATTCTATCAAGGTATGTTTGACTGTAAAGAATTGGTTTCAGTGAGTACACTGGGGTGTAGTTTCTGCCTTGAGCATGTATGTGTGTGTTAAGTGTGTGTACCCAATTCTTATTCTCTTAAGCACTATGTCTTGTCAGCTAATGACTCTATATTCTCCTTTCTTATTGTCAACTGATTTTCATATAGTTTATTGTTTGGGAACGTGTCCCAAAATGCTTGTCAGGTTCCGAGACTTAATCTCAGGCCTTGATTCTGTATAGTTTGTAGCTTTTCAAGATAGACTTACGTGCGGCACTGTAAATAATGCATCTATAGTCTAATTTTGACCCGATATGTGACCTGTATATTCTAAGCATTACTTTTTGGTCAGCACCCCAATCCAGTTTTTATATTACTTTTAGAAGCTTCAAAGCCTTTTGGCATTTTTGCTTAAGGTAGTCAATGTGTACTTTGAAGTTGAGTTTTCTATCTAGTATGATTCCTAGATATTTTATTTGTTGGACTATGGGAATTATGTGTCCATCCAATTTTAATTCTGGATCAAGGTGATGGGTTTGTTTTTTTTTACAGAAATGCATATAAACAGTTTTTGTTTTGGAGAAACAGAATCTGTTTTTGTTTGTCCACCTTTCTTTCTTCAACGGAAGCCATGTTTGATGATGAGTATGATATTGAGAAATCATCCTCATATAGGCATTTTCCAATTCCTGGATTAAAGGTTTTAATAATACTATTTATTTTAAGAATAAATAGTGTGCCTGATAAAATGTTCCCTTGAGGTACTCCTGCCTCCTGTTCATATGTGTCTGATATTGTGTTACCATTTTGTACTCAAAATGTTCAGTTTGACAGGAAATTTTGGATGAATATAGACATTCTTCCTTTTATTCCCATCTGGTACATGTCTTTAATATACCATACTTCTATGTGGTGTCATAAGCCTTTTCAATATCGAAGAATATTGACACCACATGGTGACCTCAAACCAGTCCATCACGAATAAAAGATTCTAGTCATACAAGTTGATCATTAGTTCCTTGGTTTTTCCAGAGTCCATTTTGGTAACTAGATAAGATATTGTTTCTCTCCAAGTACCACATCAGTCGAGAATTTACCATTCTCTAAACTGTTTTGAAAATACAACTTGTTAGTGCAATGGGTCAGTAATTTGTTGGGTTGGAATGGTCTTTGCCAGGTTTAGTAATTGGAATGATGATAGACTCAAGCCATAATTCTGGAAATTTGTCTGAACACCATATATCATTAAGGATTTTGATTAGTATTAAAAGAGTCTCTTCTGGCAGGTGTTTTAAAAACTGATAATGGATTTCATCAGGGCCAGTTACAGAATTTTTACTTTTGCTTATGGAGTCTTTTAGTTCTGTCATAGTAAAGAGAATATTGTATTCTCCTTTATTGTTTGAAGTAAATACAAGTTTTTCTTGTTCCATAATATTTTTAAATTTTTGAAATTTGGGAGTGTAATGATTTGTTGAGGAATTTCTTTGAAATTCTCTTGCTATTAGGTTAGTTATTTCTTTTTTTTCAGTACATTTGTCTCCATTTGTTTTGGTTAAATGGACTGTTGCAGTTTGTGATGTTTTTCCATTAATTTTCCTTATTATTTCTCATGTTTTATTTATTGAGGTCTTTTTGTTTAATTTGGAGATATAATTTTTCCAGGTTTCTGTTTTGGATTTTTTTATTACATAGCATGCTTTTGCTTGTGCTTGCTTGTAGTTTTGTAAGTTGATTTTGGTTTGCTGCATTCTGTTGTGAACCAGGGTTTTGATTTGGTATGTAGTTTAAAGGAAGATTTGGGTATTGTCTGTCTTGCTATTCATGTCAGTATGTTTGTATAAGAGACTATTGGTTCTGGTTCATTGAGAATTTCGATATTGATTTGAGATGAGAAGAATTCATTGAATTTTAGCCAATTAGCTTTGTGTAGTTGCCATTTTGGATTTGTTTCTTCTAGCATAGGCTTGCTTATATTTAGGACAATAGGTGAATAGCCACTACTGCATTGGTCATCATGAACTTTACATTGAAAGTCCACAAAAATTGATGGGGAGCATATGGTTAGGTCAATGGCTGATGCTGATCCACTACCTGGGTGTAGGTATGTGTGCATTTGGTTATTAAGAATACATAAATCAGATAATTCGAGTAGGGATTCTTATATTTCTATAATTTTACCAGCTTGACTGGCATTCCTACAGCCCCACATTTTGTTGTGTGCATTAAAATCTCCCATTAGCAGAGATGGGGTGGGAAGTTGTCCAATTAGCCTGTCTTATTCAGTCTGTGTTTTGGAGGAATATAAATTGAACATATAGTAATTGTTCGATGAATTGAAGCTTTTACTGACATGGTCCGTAGATTAGTGTTTAATTGTAGCAGTGGTTTGAGGGAAGAAGCTGTTAAAGTGGAACTTACTTCTTACCAATGGAATACAGAGAGAATGTGGGTGGTTTGCTACAATGTGAGTGTTAGCACTGGTGGAAATTTTAGCATAGAAATAACAGCAAAATTATGAGACCTAGCTGCCAATCTAGTAGTGCACTTAAATTCACAAAGTTGAGATAAAGCAAAAGAAATAAGATGAAAGTAATAAAAGTAAAAAAAAATCAATAATGGCTGAAAATGCTTCATCTTATAATAAGAAAAAGCATAACAATGCAAAATGGTACTTACATAAACATGGAGGGCTTCTTTAAAATTCCAACTGGTTGTTTTTGGGGAGGTACTGAGCCAAGGGGAGGCATTTCACTTGGCAATGGAATCATCGAAGGAACTGAACAATGAAAACATTTTTTTAGCTTGCAATAAGACAAGTTTGCCATAGAACACAGATTATAATAATCCAAAGTTCTAAGGCAAATTGTCATACTATACCAAACTATTTTAAAGTTTTATAAAAAAAAAAAACAAAAAAAAAGGTCAAGCAGAATATACATCACAGAGCAGTTGTTCATGCAACCTATGATATATACACAAATATACATTTATACACATAGATAGCATTTTTGATTTATTTAAACATGTATAGCCTGTTTCAAATTCAGTGGTTTTGCAAAATGGGTGCCTGTTTATTCTGAATGCTCCCAAGATGTATTATTCTTAAAAGAATACATCAGTGTACCAACAGTTTGAAATAGTCTCATTTCATTTGTTTACTAAATTATTCATGTTCTTAAATTCTATAAATTCTACAGTAATGTGTGTAACATCCAGCTGCTACGATGATGTATGCAACATTTGGCTGCTATGATGATGCATGCAACATATGGCTGCTACAATAATATGTGCAACATATGGCTGCTATGATAACACAAAAGCAGCCAAGTTGAATTATATTTTGGTACTGGAAAAGAAAATCATTTTTTTTTTTTATTGAAACTGCTTTTGAATATAAAATAATAAACAAAATAATTTGCATTTATTTACTCATTGACTCTTGTATTTTAATTATTTTCAAAATGTAAAAAAATAATCTTTTGTTAATTTTCAATGATAAAATATTTTTAATAAACTTTCTCATAGATTTTTAGGGGTATATCATTTTTGTAGCTGAATGCTTTTTCTGATACCATTTCTCTAGAAATTAAGAATAAAAAATACTCCTGTCTCAACAAACCTGGTAATGACAAAGAAAAAAAAAATGACAATGTTCTCTCATTAAGATAATTAATTTTATGACAGATATACGAGTTCAGAAATGTTTTTTTTTTTTTTTTAGGAAATTTAAGCTAATTTAATATCACAGTGGAAAACCTGCTTCATCCTCTAAAACGACTTCATCAGACAAATGTAGTGTCTTTATTTGATGGAATTATATGTGTAAAAAGAGAAGGAGGGGAGATATAAATGCGGACATCAGTTATAATTATGTACCAAGGGGAAATGAAGATGTGGGAACATTGAATTTTAAATTTTAAAATTTTAAATTATTTTTTTTGTCAGACACAGTCTAACTGATTTCATACAATTTCTCCACATTTTTGTTTTTGCTTTTAAGCATTCCACATTGTAATAATAAATGATCTGCCAAGAAAGGTGAAATGTTGTAAGAACTTGGACACAAATTTACTGTAAATGATTTAGCAATCAGTGCACTTTCTATATATTCACACCTTAGTAAACTGCTTTCTCTTTTAATTAAAGCAGCATTTTTTCAAAAATTGAAATTACGGTCAGATTCATTATAGTGAGCAACTAATGCAATGAGTGTGTTATTTTGTAAAATATCTCTTTTGTGTTCACATAATTTGTTATTTAAATTCCTTGTGGTCTTTCCTATGTATTCTTTGTGGCAGTCATTATAGGAAATTTAAATAATTTCTAACAAAAATAAAATAACAGTTAATAATTGAAATTGTTAGCAAAGTATACTTACTTGTGTACTCCAGTGGTAATTCCGGGAGAGGAATCTGATCAAGTTGCACTCGTTCGGCATTCTTCACTTGTTCTGAATGTCAAAAGACAATTACATAGAATCTGTTCAACAACAAATCAAGATTCTCAAGTTTGGGAATAGTTTTATATTTGACTATTCAAAAGAATAGCTATGAACAGTAATGTTAATCTAGCTCTATGGACAAATGTTAAAAATACCATGGATAGTGCAGGCAACAAATTAGGAAGTTTTAAGGGAATAAGAACTACAAAGAAGATGTAGCTAACAATTAGAAAGAGACAGCTGAGATTTGGGGGTATGCCTAATAAGGAAAGAAGGCTTAGAGAATTTATCACTCACAGGAAATATCAAAGCTAAGAGAAAAGTGGGGGCACATCAAGCAACCTATCTAATAAGTTTGGGTAAATAGATGGTAGAACATGGGCTGGAAGGGGTAATTGCTGGCTACTCGTTTCTGAGCACATTGGTCTGGTAGGGCAGTTAGACAATCCCTGTTGCAGATGCGTGCACAGATGCATTTGTGTTTGCTCAACACACACAGAACCACCCTGTGGTTTATACTACACCTATGCTGAGTGGACTTTAGTTACAGTTTCTGGGAGAGAGAGAGAGAGCACATAATTTGAACAAGGCATTGTGCTCAAACCCTCAGTCATGATGACTTGTTACTTTATGCTAGCAAAAGCTATCAATGCCTTCCAATCAGTTCCACCTGCCGAGTTTCACTCACAAGGCTTATAGTATGGTTTTCAGGCACTTCTCAATGGTGTTGCATGCTGGGATTGCCTCTCCAGACAGATGATATAAAAAAGTCACCCTCCTAACAAATCAAGCATGGTGTAATTTGAACCTGGGTCTCATGATTCAAAAGTAGACATTCTAAGCAGTTAGTTATGTGGAGAGCTATGATCAAGTTTGAGCAAATGAACCAAGAAACAACTATGACAGAGAGAAAGACAAAGAGAGGTCATAAGACAAAAGTCAAGAAGCTGTGGAGAACTACAAGCAACCATGTCTTTGAAGGGTCATGACACACAGAGAGAGGAAGAGGAAGAAGAAATTATGACAAAATAAAAGAGAAATTCTTTGATCAAAACTAAGTTTCACAAATTTTGTTTCTTGCTGCCTTTTTGTTTTCAGTTCTTTTCCAAGAAGCAATCTGCTCAAATATTTTATATATACCTGTTGATTTTGCTGATCATGAAACAACAAAACACTGTTTTCAATGATCAGGACAGAAGGAATGGAAGAGTCAAGGTTTACACATCAAGTCTTATTCAGTGAACACATTTCAGGGAAAAAGACCACAGGCTTGCCCTCTGCAAAGATACAACAATACTGAAAGCCACTGGACTTGAGCCTAAATCTTTTGAAACACAAGCCCAAGGCTCTACCAACTGGCAATGTTCCATCATCATCAGAACCAAAAATCTCAATGCCACCAGAAGAGAAAAGAAGCAAATCAAATGACAAGAGAGAAAGGTTCAACAAAATCAACCTCGTCCTCCACCAACATTACCATGCAGTCAATTATCATCAGTTCTTCCATGCAAGAATTAGTTTACTCAATTATCAAAGAAGGAAGCGATCAGCAAAGAAGAAATTAAATTCTTGGATACAAGAGATAAAACTGACGACTGGATTTTCACAGATAGGATATTAATGTTCTGTGGTAAAACCTGGTTCTGCGTATTAACTTCATGCATTTGAAATGTAAAATAATATATAATATATATTTATTATATAATAATCTATGAATAAAATTCTGTGACCTGTTGGTCTGTCCATCACACTCTCTAAAATAGCCATACACTGACTGATTGAAACCAAATTTGGGGGAGAAGTGCAAAGAGAAAGGGGGTACAAAATAAAGTTGGTTTTACTAGAATGCATAAAAACTGTGAAGTAGGGGTTTTGTCAAAGTATTTGTCAATTGGTTTGCGAAATTGAATGAAATGTAGAGTTTGTAATCTTGACAAAAAACGTTAGTGATAATTTCAACAATACTAAATACTATGAGGATTTCAGCAAAGGAGTTCTAGTAATAATAATATACAGGGATGGATGGATGTTGGATTTAACGGCAAGTCAACTCCTATTTAATATACAGGGTGCAATGGGTAAATTGACACAGCACATAAAAGAAGAAAGAAATAAAAACTCACCAAAATAAATCTGTAACTGAATCCTCTTTTTGTCATACTCTGCTTCCGCTTTCCTTAATTCTATAGCATATTCAGGATTTTCTTTGTCCTGAAAAAAAGAAACACACGTTCAGGTTCTTTTCTTTCAAAATGAATAAAGAAGTGCAGTTGAGCAACTAATAGCGTCATTCTTTTTGCATCGGCTTCAAACTTTCAGATTCAAGATGGTGATATGTTAGATTAAAAGAGTAAAAGCTGAGAAAGGCAAAGTGTATTTCCATTGACAATAAAACAAATGTTAATTCTCATAAATCTACTTCAGATATGTGAACTGAGATGCAAAGAGGTTTGTTCAGCAATTAAACGACAAACATTTCTTAAATATAATGCACCAAGCGAACTTTCTCTTACAAAATCTTTTCTGTGTTATGCATTGCAGAGATGATGACTTTTAAAAACTTTATTTTGAAGGTTAACCTTTAACACACTGCATTATTCACTACTTTCCTTTCCACTGCATAGATTTTCAAGGTTCTCCTACTGCACTACTTAATTTCAATCATTGTCATTTTCTGTTGCTATAGCAGGATATGACAACACAAGTTCAAAATTCAAACATGATATTCATTCATTCATCTAAGTCACTTGCTGTAGTAAGATAAAAGTTTTGCTTTGCAAACAAAATCACTTCCAGAATGTTAAAGAATAAAAAAAAAAAAAAGCAAAGAATTACTTACATAAAGTTTCAAAATTCTTAAGAACGTCTCTTTGAGCTTTTTCCGCTTATCCTTGAGGACTTTTTCATTGAGCTTTGGAGGTTGAGTAGGGTCATACTCTGGCAAAAAAATAATCAAAGACAAGTTTAAAAACAAACAAAGAAATCAACAGAGGATATTGTGTTCATCTTGTCTGGTTTTCTAAGAAAAGTAAATGTAAACATCCAAATCCAATGCAAAAATTCCAACTTACCACCACAACACAAAACTCTGACAGTTCGCACATCGAGAGCGTTTTTTCCTCTGATTGAGAAAAAGCCGGTGTTATATAGCTCTCAGTCCCAGACCTATGCTGACTATTGGATAATACGTACCCAGTATTGTTCGCATGGAAATTTGGTCAGTGCCACCTATTCTAAGTAGAATGTCCTCTCTCAGCAGCCAATTGTGGAGGAGGATGTAATTCCTGGTGCTTACTGCATCACATGCAACCATCATGCTTATGGATCCTTGAAATTGTCAGTGATCGTGTGAACTGTGTAGGCAGAACTTGAACAACATAGATTCTGTGGTTGGTGACTGTTGTCTTCAGTGGGTGCATTTGAAGTGTAAATGCAAGAGAACGATACCCAAGGGCAAATTTGGATTTGCAGAGACTGTTGTGCCTGAAGTGCTTTTGTCTTGCACTGTCATGGAGAGAAACCATTTATGGAGACCAAGTCTCTGACATATGACCACAACAGATGAGGGAGAATGGCAGACAGCTTGACATGTCGGCACCCCAACAACTCCTGAGGTTAAGGGCGAAAGAAGAAGTTATAGGAAAACTGTGGTTTGTGGTGTTTTATCTTGTTTTGTTCTCATTTGTTCACTCAAACTCTCTCAAAAAGTTTTAGGGAAGTATAACTATTACATGCTCAACTAAATTCCCTTACTTATTAACACCTGTTGCATTGTGAGTACCCCAGTCCAAAAAAGAAAAATATTAGCCATCATCAATCTGTGTAAATTTTAATGTGCCTCAGTGTCAATTTGCAACAATCCAAACATTCATCAGTTTTAAATTGGCATCTCTGCTCAGGACAATGCGTTAACGAAAGAAAATGATTTAATGTTCAATTTCTGATTCTGCCGCTATTAACGACTTCTGATAATTCAGTGACTCAGGCAGATGCTTATGTGCATGGTCCTCTGTAGTGCAAATAATTGAGATATCTTCAATGAGAAATTACCTTGAATCTTTTTAGTAGTGAAGTCTGCCTTTCAAAAAAAAAAAGGTTGTCCATACCTGGTCTTGGACAAGCCTGGTTTAATGTAGCAGCTGCTTTTAACACTATCTGCATAGTTTCCTTTATAGACAATCATCAATACAACAATTTTATGAATTAGCTTATTGATATTAGTTTACAAATAAAATGTCTATAGAAGTTGAAATGAATTTAGTTGCTTCAAATTATTTCTAAAAATTTTTTTTCAGGAGCTCATATTGGGAAATAGAAGGAACTCACCCATTTTGTCAATCATTTCCATTTCTTGCAAAATCTTAGTTGGATCTTTTCCTTTCAACACTGCTTGGCGAACAAGCATACGCTGTTTCTTGTTCTACAAAATGAGAACGAACAAAAAGTAAATATATATATAACATAATTACTCCCCCAACGTGCAAGTACAAAAAAAACAGATTGTCATTATAAGCAAAAACTGCAGATGAGATAATTTGCATATACCTCCAACCAGTAATTTTTTTTACAATAAGATATCAAAATCTTTTATGTGGGGTGAAAAAAAAATATCATAATAGCAAATAAGAAATGTTTTTTTTTTGATAAAATTTGTATTTGTTATTTTAATAACATATCATTCAATATAGAAAAATGTCATGATAGCAAATAATAATGTATTTTTGTATAAAATTTGTATTTGTTATTTTAATAACATATTCAATATAGAAAAATGTCATGACAGCAAATAATAATGTATTTTTTTTTAATAAAATTTGTATTTCTCCTTTTAAGATTTTACACTCATTTAATATAGAAACAAAAATAAAATTCTAATGAGCAACATTTTGTAAAAAAAGCATTAAAAGAAAATTATGTTTACCTTTTTTAATTCTCTTTTCCTTGCTTCTTTTCCTGAAAATAAATCAGAACCATGTCAAATTGAAGAAAATACTAAAACTATAAATATGAACGTTATCACAAATATCTGCAAAAAATTCATCTTATTTTCAATCTTTACAGGAACCAATGTTTCAACACGATACAGACATAAGCCACCTGGGCCAAGTAGCAGAGTGGAAACAGATACAGAAACAGTATTAAATAGAACAAGATATCCCTACCTTCACAACTAGGACTCGCCATGCCACAACCATTGTCGTAAACCACTCACATTCGCTCCACATTGCATCAATGGGAAGTAAATTCCACTCAAACAGCTACTTCCTGTGAACCACTGCTCTGTGGAACAGCCTCCTAAGATGTTTCCCCCTCTCACTAGAAATTTTAACCTGTTCAATTCTTGAGTTAACCATTATCTTCCCCTCCTATCTAATATGAACTACCCCTTAACATAACAATCTACCTCAAGGCCTCCGGGCCTTGTACAGGGTGAACCTTACTGTAACTAAAAAGACAAGGACAATGGAACGAGAACAACCTACTCCCTTAGATTAAATAAAGGATTCATTTGAAATTCCAAGGGTTAACTGGATCAACAAACACCTGAAGAAAGTGAAAGGGTACAACTGACAAAATGTTGTGATAACAGCACCAAAGATGAAGATATTGGTCCAATAATAAATTAACAGTGTTTAGATAAATCTTTTTTTATGTGCCATGTTCTTTTAGGACCTGGGCGATCATGGATCTATATAACTTTGTCTTTTGTTTCTCAACTTTTGACCCTTTACCATCTCTCGTTGTCCCAGTTCTATCATCCATTAAACAAGTTACTGTTTCCCTCTGCTTCTCTTGCCTTCAATGTTCTATGAATGTTAAATTCTCCAGGTCATCTTTCCTCATTATATATCCCAGAAATTTCAATTATCTCTTTCTAAATATAAGTAACAGTTTCCTTGGAGTTCCTATTTTCCTTAAAACTTCGTTGCTCACACTGTCCATTGGAGTCTGTGGTAAGAAATCAAAATAAAAAAAAGAGACCAGAAAAAAAAAAAAAAAAGCGCATGTTTTATACAGCTGAGGACCGACCATAATTTGCATGCGAATGACAAGACAACAAGATTTCGCGTTAACTGTCTGAGACCGCCTGGTATAAAACATGGGCACTGCCATATTGGTTCTTTTTACCACTGAGCAGCTGGATTTTGTATGACGTACAGATTCATGGGCGTTTCTGAGGTAAGTCGTTTTCACAATCCCCCCCCGATCTCATGATCACAAACAGGGCAGGGAGGTGGCGATCATCACCATTGAGAGCCCCTCTGAAGAGGGACGACACAAGCTTCATCCTCATGCATACTCTTGTCTGTGGTTTGAGTGTCGGTAAACACTGTGCCCACCGGGAGGCTGCTGATATCAGAATCACTGCACAGCAGGTCTAACTCCAAGCAGATTGAACGCTCACTACTCTTAGACTCAGAATCACTTTCATCGCTCAGTAACGGTAGCGGTCGCAAGTCTTTAATGTGACGAGGCACCCCATCAACTCATCAATTTTGTCGTACACTTGCCACGTGGGTTTTTGACCCAAACAACATCTCCTTTTTTCAATCTCCCTCCGGTCACTTCTAGTTCAGGCAGTCTCTAGAGAAATGGTTTGGTCCACCACATTTGTAGCACTTTGGGCCCTCCCACAGTGTCTCAGGCGTTCTCACGGCTGCTGTGACCTGTTACGTGTCTTTCAAGATATTTCGGGGCCTGGCTAGCAATTCGTCGATTCCCAGTGTGTACAATCTTGAAGACACTCGCAGGAGCCAACTGGTGTCATCGGGAAATCCTGCCAGGAAGGTGCATCCCAGTATGTGGTCCGTTGCTTTGCCAAACAGCACCGCCAGCCTTCGCAAATGGGCCAGGTAGACATCCACCGCCTCACACAGCTCGAGCTATCATCCGACGAACTGTTTCCAAGCGATGAAAGGGTCCATTTCAAAGGCTGTATATAGGGCACTCTTGATCTCCTCTAGGTCAGCATCGTCCCCGAGTTGTTGATATATGGTGTAGGCTTCCCTCGTGAGTCTCAGTGGGATGACCAGTGCAGGTTCTTTTATTTTGGACAACCTGCAAACACATTTGGCCTTCTCAAACCATTCGACGACAGTCAGGCCCGTGGGTGAGCCGTCGAATTCTGGGATCAATTTTAGATCAAACTTGTCCACAGCTGAAATAGCTTGTGGTAAGAAATCAAAATAAAAAAAAGAAACCAGAAAAAAAAAAGTGCTTGCTTTATACAGCCGAGGACCGACCATAATTTGTATGCGAATGACAAGACAAGATTTTGCGTTAACTGTCCGAGACCGCCTGGCATAAAACATGGGCACCGCCATTTTGGTTTTTTTTACCACTGAGCAGCTGGATTTTGCACAACGCACAGATTTGTGGGCATTCCCGAGGTAAGCCGTTTTCACAATTTTCCCCACAGAGTCTTAGCATTCTTCAGTAAAACCACATTTAGGTCAATTCAAGTCTCTTCTTCTTCTGTGAGGAAATTGTCCAGCATTCATTGCTATATTTGAGATTATATATTACATAGTAGTTCAGCACTGTTCTTTTTTTCTTGGAATATTTTTTATCCCTTAATACTTTGTTTAGTTTCTAGCAGGCATCTTTTGGTATTCTTATATGCTTCCATCTCACATTTTCCGTCATCTCATAATACACTACCCAGATTGTTGAATTTCTGTACTTGCCTGATTTAATGATATCCTCCCAATAAACAGCTCACTTTTAGTGATAACCAAACATTCTATCTCCTTACAGTTAATAGTCGTTCTTGTTTTACTTCACTATTTTACTCAAGTTTTCTTTTAGAGTCTACAGTGTCATCTATATCTTTTATATTGTTAAGATAATGCGTGCCAGCAATAAATCCTGGTAGGTCTCCTAGATCTCTTAGGATTGTCTCACTGTCCCTCAATAGGAGTAGATAGGTTTGCCTATCATCTGGTTCATACTCCCTGGTCTTTTGAACAGGAATAGAGGATTATCCCTTAATTCCTATTTAGGAGTGGGTTTCCAGTTCCTTCTAAAATCTGTCTAAACTGAAATTTTATTTACTATTTCTTTTCTTTTTGCCTCAATAGGAGTAGATAGGTGTGCATATCATCCAGTTCACACTCCTCCTCAGTGTCTTGGACAGGAGCAGAGTTTATCCCTTATTTCCTGCTTAGGATTAGGTTTCCGTTCCTTCTTTTCATTCCCTTTCACTTCCATTTAGCCCCTTGCATCTTGGTGGCGTTACCACTTTGTTTGGTGTGAATGGATTGAAAAGACAAAAAAAAAATTGGTGAGAAATTTCATCCGTCTTATTTCTTTTTTTTGTTATTAGTATATTTACTATTTCTCTATTCACATGCAGGCTGTTTGTTCCCAATAGAGTAATGATTACTCAAGTATTTTTGTGTGTAAATCTTCATAAAATTCCAATTAGCTCTTTGTGTTATACCCCACCAAATGCTTTTATGTAATTTATGAAATATAGGTACAGATCTTTCTGTATTCTTATTGTTTACTCTGATAATATAAAAGAACATTTTTTTGTTTCAGTGTTTTGAACAACGCCATACTTTTCTTGCCCTATCTATGGTAATACTGTTCACTAGAATCCTAATGATTAGTTAATGTGGTTCATGAAGTTAATTAATAAAATTTGCCCCTAGTTTCTTTGGTATTGCTAAGATAGATATACCAAAGGTCTTTTGGTATTTCACCACTGTCATATATTTCAATCTATCCTTTCAGTAACCTTAGTGATCCCCAAATCACCTATGGCTGCCAGCATCTCTATTGCAATCTCATCTGATCCTGCCATTTTATTTCTTTTCATCTTAGCCACTGTCAATCTTACCACCGTTTTTAATACAAGTCCTTCCATCTGTCTATATTTCTGAGATGAGGTATTGTAAGGGTTTTTTACACTATTTACAGAGTTCAGACTGTTGTTCACATCTTTGTCATATTCACAACATTTCGACCATTGTACGATGGCTTTATTTTCTTAACTTGATGTGCCCAATTCTTTGCTTTATTTTCAGGATTAGACTCTAATTATTTTCCCTGTTAATTAGTGCAGTTTTGTCAAACGTCGATGATTGAAAAGCGGGGGGGCAAAACAACAAATTTTCGAGGTTTGAGCAAACTCTGCACTGTAACAGGAAAAATAATTAATGATCGTACGTAGGGACCCAAACACACATTCTCAAATAAGTTTTAAGAACGTAATATGAGTGAAGGTAAACAACAACACAATACCGCAGAAAATGAAAGTAAATGTAGTAGATTTTAAAATTGTTAGGACAGGTGGGGGTTCCCCTTTTTTAATTGTGTTGACTTGTCTATCATTTGCGTTAACAAAACAACAATCCATTTCCAGTAGTGTTTAAGAAAAAAGTTGTAAATTTATTTTTTAAAAAAAACCTTAAATGAATTATTCACGAAAACTAACACTTTTTTTTTTTTTAATATTCCCTGATGACATGAGTAATGTAAACCAGAGATTCTTTCAGCAATGGACCAATTAATTAATATTTCGCTCGTTTTGTTATGTGATTTTTCTACTTGTTACATGTGCAGAAACAATTATTGATTTTCTTTTTGTTGTTGTTGTTGAGAAAACTGAGTTTTATGGTCACCACGTGAACTCGACATGCACCTTTTGAGGTGACGGTGTGGTAACAAGATTAACCCCCAGCATCTGAGAACAAACACCCTAACCGAACAAACTCAATGTTGTTTTGTCCGTTATTTTGTTTTTAAATTAAAGTGCAGCTCAGGTATTGTATGTATAATGGCGGAGAATATTTTTGCGAAGATTGATGACAACGAGGGAAACATTTCGGACAACACTAAGAATTAAAACTACAAGTGTGTTAGTAACAAGCCTCACAAACCAAACACATCAAATGATCTCACAACTTAGAAGTTTTTGAATTTATTTTTTTTTAAACATTTTTTTAGCAAAAATGTTGTTTTGTTCGTTAAAAAAAAACTAAAAAGTAAAAGACTTTCTCCGTAAATTACTGTAACAATTATTCCTGCATAATATTGGCAATGCAAGCATCAATAATATTCATGAGCGATCATGCCTGGAAAATGTTTGTTTGGTGATAACGGAAAAAAAAAACTTAAGTAACCTCAGTAAATAAATACGCATGAACGTCTTGGAAATAAATGTTACTTTATTTTTCTACTCACTTGCTTGATCTGTGGGATTCATATACTTCCCACTCTTGGTGGTGTTGATGGATCTTCGCCCCATGATTATTAAGTTTTTGTTATAGAACTGAAAATGGGATTAAATTGGAGTTTTGAAAAAAAAAAAAATAAAATAAAAACAAATGTTTTGTTAAAGGTGTTCGCGTCAATGTTTAACTCACACCGCCGCCATTACTAACCACGTGACCTACCGGAAACGAATTTACAAAATCTGTACTTTACGAAAAAAAAAAAAAAAATAGGTCGTAGAGACTAAACATAATATAAATAAACTTACAAAGTAATATATATATATATATATATATATATATATATATATATATATATATATATATATATATATATATATATATATATATATTTGTAAATGGATTTTTGTTTTTCGATAATAACAGTGAGTGTGAGATTGATTTTTATTTGGATGTGGAATTACTCAGTGTTTACATTCAGAAACAAAAAATCCAGTTATCAATAATCAATCAGTTATCATCCACATTCAATATCATTAATGGTCAGTAATCAGTATTCACAATTATTATTGTTTGTTCTTATAACGACAGCCGTCAATGGGCTACAGTGAGCAGTAGTATTAGTAGTCATCAAATAGAAAGTAGGAGGTTATAGGAGTTAACAATTAGATGGAGTAGGAGGCAAGCAGTAGAATAGTATATAAAAATAGAGGCGCTCATCCATTCCATCCTAAAGTCAGAGGTTACTGTGGTGCCAGGTGTGCGGGGATATCTGCAGATATACCTACGTCCAAAAAAATAAAGTACCAACCATGGACATGGACGACATCTCAGTGCTAAAGGCTGACATAGACAGCAAGTTGGAAAAAGTGAGAGAAAAGATATGCATCTTAAATTATGTTTTAGTTTTCGCTTGTATTTTAATTTTTATTTTATATTTTTGACTTGTCATCATCCGTGATTAATAACAAATATTTTACACAATTAAAGTAAACAGATTTATTTAAATTAAGCTTACGATTTAAATACATTGATCTATTCGGGCTAGAGAGTGTGTTTACACTGCAACTTTAACACACACCTGAAGAAGGCCGGAGGCTTCCACACCCGAAGTGTAGTGAATATGACAATCTAGAAGACTTAGTCCGAATAGATTAATTGATTCTTCATCTCGGAAATTCAAGCTGATACCTAACTTAATATATGAAATTACAGTTAATTACGTATCTGGAAAATAATTACTTAGAACTTTACATTTACGTTTTTACTAGTGTGTTTATAATTTTAAAAATTGTCAAACAAAAAAAATCATCATAGATGAGGTTGGATTCGAAATGTTTTTAAATTATTTAAAATAATTTCTTTGATATTTTTTGGCATTTGAAATTATTTTTAGTGTTTTTAAGTATTTATTTGAATAATTTCTTTGATGTTTTTTAGCACCTAAAGTTATTTTTAAAAATAATGTTATTTTTACTCTTAATAAACTTTTTTTTTTTTTTACCTGGTTCATTCATTTTTTAATTTCCTTTTTGTTTTATCAAACAAATGTACCTGTGTAATGCAGGTACTTTTGGTTGAAATTGATTGGGTTTTAGAAAAAGTATAAAATGATTCAATAAATTGTGTGGTATGGTAATGTTTTAAAAAGAATGTTTTTTATTTATTTTTTTAGGAAAACTTCGAAAAAATGAACTATTTTAAATTTAAAATATACCCATCAATGTATTTTTAAGTAAAAATTTTTAAAATGCTTTGAGAAAATCAAAAATATTTCTATGAATTCGCCGACGTTACACGATATTAAAATTGAAAATGTACGTATTTAATTTAGAAATAATAATAAAAAAAATCTCCAGGGGGTGGAGCAGCTTGAAAAACAATCCTAAAAAAAACCCCAAAATTAACAAACAGAGGAGGGGTCGTTTTACATTTATTTGTTATCTGAGTGTGTGTTTTATACTTGAGCAGCAATTTAGTCCGTTATTGTTTACTTTTGATTATAAAACTAAAAGTAACAGGTAGCACTTGTTAAAGAAAAGTGCTGTCATTTAGTTTTATAATCAAAACAATAAATTACTGTTAATTTTTTTTTTGTTTCCGTACGTACGTGTCTTTATTTACTCTTTCAAACTGACACGTACAGATTCATAAATTATTAAATGAATTTATTTCTAAGAATTCGGGTAAGTTTACCGCTCCAATCTAAATGATTTCTACATAACGATCACCGAATTATGCCCCCTCTCTTTTTGTTTTAACTACCCTCATATCCTGAGTCCTCCTTTTAGATTTGAAAAGTTTCGCATCCGCATCGACAAAAAAACAACAACAAAAAAACCTTCTGAATTGCATTTAATTCCCAGAAGTTATAACATTTCTTCGCTTCCTATCTGTTATTGGCATTAAATATCATGTTATAATTAGATTATCCATGCATTTTATTTTTATTTCACTACATTGCATACAATTATTTTAGGGTAAAAAAAATAATTGAAATTTGTATTGTACCTAGGACACTGTTATTTTTCGTTTTATTTTGGATAAATGATTTTTCAAAGGTGAGTCCAGAATATGAAAATGGTTTAAAATAAAAAAAAAAGAAGAAAACTTAAAGTAAATGTATGGTGGGGGTAAATCAGTGCCTGAAATTGTTTTGAACAACTAAAAAACTTAACAATCAGTTATGTGCCACTTTCGATACATAACTGACGAGGCAGATTTTTTCCCACAGTCGGTTGCCATTTCTTTCTGTGGTAGGCCAGTTCCATCCAAGGCTATAGAACCCAGTCTGTCTTGCTATTTACCCATAGCTGAGGGGAGAAGAATACCTTTCCCAAGCTTATTAGCATTTAAGTGAATGTAATGGATTTGACCAGAATTCGAACTTGGCTCTCCGATTTCTCAAACTGAGTCACTATCCATTACTCATTCCAGGTTAGTTTGTTGCCTTCACTTCTGCACAAATGTCCTGGGGAAAGTCATGAATTTATCCCTTCTCCTTCTTCTCTCCTCCCAGCTATGGGTTTAACAGGGTGGACTGTGCTCTCTATCCTTGGTTGGCAGCCATTATGGAAGAAGACTGGAGAACATAATAGCCAAAATGTTGTGCTGATAACAAAAAAGATGAGGACATTCTTCTATGTGATGTGCCTCATCAGAACATTGGCAATCATGGCTCTCTACAACTTCCTATCTCTTGTGGCAGTTAGCAGTTTTCTCCCTTTATTAAGGCTACTCCCTCTCTGTTCTACTTCATTCACATAAGCTTATCAGCTTTGTGTCTCACTGCTTTCCCCTATCTCTCTTGCCTTGAATGTGCCCTGTGAGGGTTAAGTTTTCCAAACACACCTTCCTCGTTATGTGTCTAAGGAATCTCAGCTCTCTCTTACTGATTTTTGAGTAGAAGTGTTCTTTTTATTGCCATTTTCTTCCTTATTGCTTACTCACCACATGGTCATCCAGTACTCTTTTCTTTGTTTCTAATGAAATTTTTCCATTTCTCAGCACCTTGCTTAGCTTTTGGAATGCTTCTTTCATGAGTTCAATGAATGTTCAGTGTTGCATTTCCCACCCTCCATTAAAACACTTCCCAGTTATTTGAACTTCTGTACTTGCTTGATGTTGTTATCTACAATTTGTAAATTGCATGTTGAGCTTTTTCTCTTGCTGATGACCATACTTTCTGTCTTTTTGCAGTTAATAGTCCTTTTTTTCTCACTTTCTTTTATTACCATTTCTAGATCTTGTTTTCCTTTCCAAGTTAGCAATCAACACTGTCATCCACATATCTTATATCGTTAAGATTGTACCCACTGATGATAAATTCTGGTAAACTCTCCAGCTTCCTTAGGATAGCATCATTGTGGAGGTTGAGCCATTAGTCCAACTGTAAATGGAATATCTCAGGATAAATAGGGGAGATTTGTTGACTATTTGACTGCTAAATATATAATAATATTGTTTTATATATCACAATAATTACTGGGAGATATCTGATATAGAAAATGTATATATCAATGGTGGGGGTAAATCAGTGCCTGTCATACTGAATGGCAAAATGGAAAAAAATTCTATGTAATGTGTTGTTTATCTGACTAAAATGATGTTTTTACTGATGGAATTATTTTTATTTAAATGGAATAAAGAAATGTGCCCTCTGGCAAGATATTAAATTTTCTTGAGTACACAAACTGGTAGATGAAATAAATACCATTTAGAATAAATGAAACATCTGCTTAAATATGAGTATCCACTAAAAATAATGTTTGAAGTAATAAAAATATGTTGAATTAAAAAGACATAAAATTCATTAATTCTTTAAAATTGCTGATGGAATTATATGTGTGTGTGTGTGTGTGTGTGATTGAATAAATTACAAACATTATGTCTGCTTATTTTTATCATAATCCTTTAATATTCATGGATATTTTTCCGTATGTATTTAAGTGCAAAAGAAAAACATTCAGTAATGGATGGCTACACATAGCTTTTACCTTATTAGTTCCACCCCTGATGATCTCATAAAGAGATGGAAAGTACTTGGGAAATAAGTGATTTTCAATGTTACAGTGCATTTCTTGTATTATTTAGTTGTAATATATGGAAAAATATTTGTGAATATAAAAGGATTATGATAAAAATAAGCAAACATAATGTTTGTAATTTATTCAGTCAAACATGCCTAAATGAGAATTTACTGCCTAAAACACACACACACACACATATATATATATATATATATATATATATATATATATATATATATATATATATATGATTGATTTGTTTTCTACAGTTTACAACCTTTTGCAGGTTATTTAAAGCTAGAAAATATTTTTACATTGTTAAATGTTTTTTTGAGATAATAATGATTTAGTGATACAAGTTTTACTAATTCACCTATAACTGGGAAGTGAGGAGGTGGATTCATACCTTTTCCCAAGGGTATTTGCATGTAAGTGAATATAACAAACCCAACTGGAATTGGAACTCTGCCCTCCAATTAACAATTCCCAAGTAGTCATCCATT